GGCTAAAGTTTTAGGGAAAATGGGAAGGATAGGTGAAAGGTCATAAGGGAAAAGAAAAAAATAGAAGAAAATTAAAAAATGGAAATAAAGTCTTTGTAAATGGGGAGAGCAGGAGGGGGTGATGGGAGGGCAGGGACAAGGGAAAAAATGAGAACTGAGTCCTGTCATGTAAAGGTACAAGATCCCAATGATGAATGTAACTGTACTGTATACCTAAAATGTACCAATGAACTCAATTACAAAATAGTATGTTCTCTTATCAATAATAGCTAAGTTTAATGGTTTCGCTGACTGCATTATACTAATTATTTATATTTCTACTGGTATTTTAACATGTAATGCTCATTTTCTACAACTATATGAATTTCAAGTGAATTTTATATTATTGTGTGTCAATTTTTGTCAAAGAAAAATTATACCTAGAAAATGTTTTTGTTACCATTTAGTTAAATATTTATCTTCTTACACATTTGTTAGTTATCTTAAAGTAAACTACCTGAAGATTTTAACCATAGTTTTCTCATCACATAACACAGTCATGTTTTCTTCACATTTGATCACTTATATACTCTGATTTTTCATAAGATGTCTAAGCTAAAGTACTAAATTTATTTTCCTTCAGCTTGTAATCATTCAATATATTGTAAGGAAGTTAATTACAATAAACCTTCCAATAAGCATCTATATATGTGGAACAAAATTCCTAATTTGTACAATTATCTTTATTTTCCAGAACCTTCTAAAACCAATGCATAACATATAATTTTATCTCTAGATATTTACCAACATAATTGTAAATCTTATTGATATTCTTAAATTATTGCTGCTTCATATCTAACTTTAGGACATGTTCAAATGCTTCATCCAAATTTATTTAACAAAACTTTCATAAACACAGTATTTAATGTGGAACTCTTCCCTCACAATTTCTTTTATTTTAAAGCTTCTCATTTTCTTTACTTTTTTCCCAAATAATACACATACAGTTAAGCATTGTGAAAAGAAAGATAAACAAGTGAAATCCCTGTTCAATTGCTCCATATATTGTAATAGCTAGGAAAGAGTACAGACAAGTAATGTGTATTTGATATATAATGTCCTAGGGATGTATCACAAGCAGAGGTTTATTCATTGAAAATTTTCATGGTTTGTGCTCAATTTTATAAGTATGGCAGAGGGAAACCAGAGAATGTTTTCTGAATACCAGAGCTAGCTTGAATTCCAAATATAATATCTAGAATAAAAGAAAAGATTAGAATTGTGGTTAGGAGAGGCCAGAGAGTGGGAGAGAAGAGAGAATGGAGAGAAGATGATGAATGAGTAAAGGGAACACTTCATAGGAAGAATTATTTCTCTGCTATACAGTATAGTAGGGTTATTATGGCTGAAAGCTACTAATAATTTATTTCAAAATACCTAGAACAGAAAACTTTGAATGTTCCCAAATGAAGAAGTGATAAATGTTTAAGGTGAAAGAAATGTCAGTTATCCTGATCTGACTGACATGCATTTAAGAGAATTGAAATAACTTACTGTACTTCAAAAATAAGTAAAATTATTTTGTCAGTTCAAAATTGAGGGGATATTTTTAAAGATTTAAATCCAAAGCCTAAAAATAACACAGGAAGAACCTCACAGGAAAAATGAGAATGGTCACAATCTCTTCTATCATTATACAAAGGCCAATTGGTCTATTGAATGTACCCCAGCCATAGGAAAGGTAATTTTTCTGGTGTCTCATGAAAAAATGCCAAAGAATATTTTGTTCTTCATTGTCAATTCATTCGTGAATTGTAGGATTTTTTCCCTAAATTTGCTCTTTATTTTCTGTTGTGGTATTCAGACTGTTTTTCTTTATAGCAAAAAGTTGTTTTGTTTTTGGACAAATGTACTTTTAAAAATATTTTTGCTGGATATCACAAGCATATACATGAAAGTGGAATTCTGCTAGAAAGATGAAAGCGTGCTTTCCCTTATTGTCTCTTCAGGACCACCTATGCTTACAAGGACTTTTCCTCCCTTGGTTCCACATAACCACCCTCCCTTTATTGAGAAATGCTTGTTTCTCTTAACCCAGGACAGATAGTGGACATAACAAAATGAGGTTCTGTAGTTATACATGATGAAAGATGAACTGGATGAACTGGAATTTATAGGCACTATTTATATATTCTTAGGAAAAAATTAATGATAATTTACTTGATATCAATTTATTTCTAATAATTTGGTTGGGGGTAGTATGAATATAACATATATACATGTGCTCTCTGGGGGTTTGTGTGGTTTTAGTGATAAGAGGGACTTCAGAGAAAGTCTTTCTGCACACAATATGGACATAAATACAACATATGATGTTTTCACTTGCTTTCTTGCTTTTATGATGGAGAATAACTGATTTAAAGAACTTTGTACTCTAGCTTTTTTCCTTTACTCTCATTAGTAATACTAGTAATACTCTTCCAAAATACTAGGTACTTGCAGCAAGTCAGTTCCCATTTGGCTACATTATCACATGGGAAAACAACCTGAGATTACAGCACACTCTATTAGTAAGGAAGAATTTTTGGTAGGTTAGGGGCTTTTAATGATTTTTGAATTTATGCAACTTCAGTTTACAATGATATTCCCAATATAATGTTACTGTACTTCATGTACTCATGATATAATCCTATGATAAGTCAAAAGCCTTTTGAACTCTAATTGGATTCATAAAACAGAGGCCAGAATACAAACTACAGTTATAAATAAAGAGGGATCCATTTCAATTGGAGAAAAACTTTGTAACCAACTTAACAAGGAGCAAATGAAAAAAAACAGACAGAGGAAAAAATTTTGTTTGCTGTTTCAGGGGTAACAAGCCAAAACTCATTATTTTTATTTGTTTCAGTATATTTTTAATTTAGACAATACTGGTGCCTAACCATGAGGTACTGTATGATAATTTGATATACACATATAGTGTAGTGACCTATATTTGGCATTTATAGCTTTTCAAACATTTATATCTCACAGATGTTACACTTCAGCCTGTTCTATTATTATGAAGTCTACTATAGATTGGTATAGACTATGTTTATCCTACTGTGATATGGAACAACAGAACCAATTCCACAGATTTTATAGTGTTTGGGTGCCTGTTATCTAATTTTTTCACTGATTCTCCTCATCCTTTTTCCTCCCTGTCATAGGAGACAATTATTTCATTTTTGTTCTATGCAATAAATTTTTCTAGCTTTCACATATGAGGACCTGCAGTATTTGCTATTCTGTGTGAGACTCATTTCACTTGCAATAATGTCTTTCAGCACCATCCATGCAGTTGCAAGGGACAAATCTCATTAATATAAGTGAACAGTACTTTAAGATGCACATATGCTACATCTTAATTATCTATTCTTGCACTGATAGGTGCCTAGTTGATTTCATAACTTGGTTACTTTGAATGATACCCTGATACATATGTGTGGTATGTATTTTAGTATGTATTTATAGTTTGTATTTTTGTATGTATTTCATTTCATGTTGATACACACATTAATTTATTCAATGCTTTCTAACATCACCTGTCCTCTCTCTTCCTCCTTTAGAATTATATTGAATTATTCTTAAATCTACACTCATTTAATTTCTACATGATGTTAATGAACTGAGCATAATTGTCAACATATTTTATAGCTTAAAAATAATGGAGCTCTGTGTTACTTATAACTGGAGGAAATAATAAATATATCACAGAAATTAATAAATGTAATAATAATAATAATAATAATAATGCATGTGATAACAAATGTACCACTGAGACTTTTTAACTTGGATAGGTGCCCTAAGCTCTGGGATCTTGTGATCTATACAAAGCATCTCTTTTAATCATGTCTTATATCTTGTTATATACACTACAAATGAAATTGTGGAGAAGATGTTGTTGCATTGAGAAATGTTTGAAACCTTTTAGTTTCAAAAGACATAATAATTTTGCATGTTTCTGTGGTAAAATGTGATATGATAGTAATTAGAATATCTATCTCCTGAAACATTGTTCTATGTTGAGAACATAAAATATTATCTCTAGCTATTTCAAAATCTATGAAAATGTATTTTTAATTATAACAAAACCTGTGTTATAAAGAACCAGGCCTAAATTCTCAGTGTATTTTTGGACTCACCATTTGACTCCATTTATACTCCCTTTCTCTCTGCTTCATGGGCTCTGTCTGTGACTATTTTACTCTTGGCTTCCAGCTGAACAGCATGTTCAGGTTCCAGTTCTGATCTACACCCCAAGCTCATGCTCTTTCTTACTGTAAAAATTCCTCATGCTTGGCCGTAAACACCTGAATGACACATGTTTCTCTGGGCCTTACACAGTGTGCTCCTCCTCTTCCTCAGAGAACCTTGTGGCTCTCACCCCAGCTTCCTTGAGGTATTTTTTCAAATGTCACCCTGTTTACTGGTCTTACCTGAAAGTTAGTTTAAAAAAAATAAAAAATTAATTAACATCACACTATTTTTATTTTCTTTCCTTTTCTTCCAGGTATTTGCTATGCTAAATTATAGAATTTATAGAATGTTTAAAGTTCACTTGTGTCCTTTCTCTATCATTAATTTATATGCACAACTGGTGTTTCTCATTGTAAATATATTATCTAGGCAGTTCTTTTAGAAAGTTTTACATACATTTATAATTTTATAATGTACACAATAAATTTTCTTTATAATAACAGAACACATGATCTCTTGTTGGAAAGCTAAATATTGGATAGAAATTTCTCATGAGAGATGACAGATTGTTCCTTTAAATGAACCATAAAAAGTACACTTAAACGTAATCATAATGTATTGACAATAGAAAATAAGTGATAATATTTATGAAAAGTTACCAGTGCAAGTCTTTTTGTCTTTCACTATGCATACACCTGTCTCTACTCTCTCTCCTCCCTATTCTCCCCCTCTCTCCCTATCTTTCTCTGTGTCCCTTTTATTCTTCAGGTTACATCAACAATATGGAATCAAAGAATTACACACAAACTGCAGAATTTGTTCTTTTGGGATTTTCAGAAGATCCAGAATTGCATCCTTTGCTGTTTGGATTTTTCCTGTCCATGTACCTGGCCACTGTGTTAGGGAACCTGCTCATCATCCTGGCCACAGTGTCAGACTCCCGCCTGCACACACCCATGTACTTCTTCCTGTCCAACCTGTCCTTTGTGGACATCAGTTTCACCTCCACTACAGTGCCAAAGATGCTGGTGAACATCCAGACTCAGAGCAAAGTAATAACTTATGAAGGCTGCATCACTCAAGTGTATTTTTTTGTACTACTTGTAATGTTGGACATCTTTCTGTTGACGGTGATGTCCTATGACCATTATGTGGCCATCTGCCACCCTCTGCATTACACAGCCATCATGAACTCACAGCTCTGTGTGCTGCTGGTTCTAGCATGCTGGATGCTGAGTGTCCTAAATGCTCTGTTACACAGCTTAATGGTGTTGCGACTGTCCTTCTGCTCTGATTTGGAAATCCCACATTTTTTTTGTGAACTTAAATAGTGCACCGTGCCTGTTCTGACACCTTTCCTAATGATGTGGTGACATATTTTGCCACAGTGCTACTGGGTGGTGGTCCCCTTGCTGGCATCCTTCACTCTTATTTTAAGATAATTTCCTCCATATTGGCAATCTCATCAGCTCAGGGGAGGTACAAAGCGTTTTCTACCTGCACATCTCACCTTTCAGTGGTCTCTTTATTCTATGGCACAAGCCTAGGTGTGTACCTGAGTTCTGCTGTCACTCAAAACTCATATGCAACTGAAACAGCTTCAGTGATGTACAGTGTGGTCACACCCATGCTGAACCCCTTCATCTACAGTCTGAGGAATAGAGACATCAAGAGTGCTCTGAAAATATTATTTAAGAGGGCAACTGGGATCTAGATAATATGCCATGATTACCATTTAAACTGCTCTCTATCACTAAGCATTATGTTAAACTTTAGACTGTGTCTGTTAACTTAAAGATTTTCCATTTGATATTTTTTTAATGTCTTTAAGTTTCCAAAACTATTATCATACATATATTCGCATTTCTCTCATATTATGGATCAACTCATGATTCTCAAGAGTAATTTCTTCTTAAAAGGTAAAGAAATAAGGGAAAAGAGAGATTCAGTAAGGAAGCAAGGACCCCAGAGGAGGTCTCTCCAGCCGACTGCTTGGGCCCACTGGCTGGTCTGTGACCTCCCCCACTGCATGCCACCAGATCCAGTAAGGAAGCAAGTAAACTGGAGGATGTCTCCCAAGCCACCTGTTCAGGCCCAACTGGCAGGTCCGTGACCTCCCCAACTGTGCGCTGCCAGATCCAGTAAGGAAGCAAGGACCCCAGAAGAGGTCTCTCCAGCCGCCTGCTTGGGCCCACATGGCAGGTCTGTGACTTCCTAGACAGCATGCCACCAGATCCAGTAAGGAAGCCATGACCCCAGAGGAGGTCTCTCCAGCCACCTGCTCAGGCCCACCAGGAGTGTTGGCAACCTCCCTGACTTCGCACCACCAGATCCAGTCATGAAGGTAGCCAGGCGGGTGCCCTTGAAACACCCTCACGACCTGCTTCCCCCCTGGCCTGTTCTAAACCTCCTGATTGGACCAGTCCTTGGACCCACTCTGCAGAGGCAAAGGTGGGCATGAAGGGTATTTTTCTGAGCTCCCAACTTTGAACATCTTTAAAGAAAGGGCAGGGGAAACCTGTAATAGAATTGAGTGGAGTTGAACCCCGTGGATTGGGAAACTCAATTTAAGCCTTGTGGACTGAGATCAGTCTGTGTCACGGGGACCTGCCATTGGCTAGCTGAGATCAGGGGATTCGGTTCTACACATGGCTGTAACATGATAACAGAGACATAGTCTGAAAGAGGCCCTTCAAATTCTTTTCTTTTTTTTTCTTTTCCTCATTTCACCGTAAAATTTCTTTCTTTTTTCTGTCCTCTTTCTCCAACCCAGTCTCTTGCTCCACCATAATGTCCCTCATCTCCCTTTTTATTCCTGCTTCTGCCCTAACTCAGACTTCTTCTTTAATCATTTTTTTCTTCTTTCTTTATGTTCTTTTCTCCTGTCATTTTACCTCACTCATGACTCTGTAGCTTCAAGGGAAGGCTAGCCCCTGTTAGGGGGATATATTCTTGTGCTGTTCCTGCTCTCTGTCTATCCTATTTGAAATTAATAGTATTGTAAAGATAGTATGGTCATTCTACATCCTCTGGCTTCATTTCAAACCTTCTGCAATTCTTTCACTTATTTACTCCTCTCATCCTAACTCAGTCTAACCCCCCATCCTAAATAGTAAAGATGCTATATTGAAAAGCATATTCACTGCAAACATATTAAGGGGCTGCTTCTTGATATTAATTTAATACAAATAGTTTAAAGGTGATAGATCAATGACTACCACAATTGGTCTATTTGCAAGGTGTGCTTGATTCTACTGGGTTGTGAAATGCAACAATGGGATAAAGGATTAGGATTGATTTAATGAGTTGTTTTCTCTGATATTATGAAAATGAGGATGTCTGTGAGTCATTAGAGACTCGAAAGCTAAAATTCAACTCTACCAGGAAGATTTAAGTAATAACCCAGAAAAGTAACCAAGGACAACAAAACAACAAAAATAAAAATGAGAAAACACTTAAGCAAGACACAAAGACAGACTTCCAGTTCACCAATGGCAAACAGTAGGGCAAATGAGGATGAAAAATCTGATAGTGAACCAGCAGGTCACCCTGGACCCATAGCACAGGAGGTAACAAAACAGATCAATCAGGCTCTAGAAAAATTCAAATCAGAAATAATTTCCAAGTTAACCATAGAGATGATGAGCAAAATCAAAGTCATGATTCGAGACTCTAGAACAGAAAATGACAAAAAATAGATGAGCTCAAGACGATGATAGAAGCCATGAAGACTCAGCATGAGAAAGAAATGCAAACAATGAATGCCCAAGAGAGGAAAGAAATAGAATCCATAAAATAGATTCAAACAGATATTCAGGAGATCAAAAACTCTACTGAAAGTGTACGCAACAGAATAAAAGATTGCGAAGATAGAATTTCAGATACAGAAGATAGGATGGCAGTCAGTTACCGTGAAAAGAGCAGTGTCTCAAAAACAGTAAGGGATCATGAGAAATCGATCCAAAAACTTCTAGATGATGCAAAGAAAAACAACATAAGACTAACAGGAATCTATGAAATAGCAGGAGAAAACAAAAATGACTTTAAAAAAGCTCTTCAGTGAATTAAAGACAGAAAACTTCCCAAATAGAAGGGAAGAATGAGACATACAGATAAGTGAGGCATATAGAGCTCCAACTAGCCACGATAAAAAAATCTACACCTAGACATATAATAATCCAGATCCCATAAATTCAACAGAAGAACAAAATACTACAAGCAGTAAGAGAAAAGAAACAAATCACATGCAAAGAAAAGCCCATCAGAATCACAGTAGACTTTTCAACACAAACCCTTAGGTCTAGGAGTCTGGACTGAGGTATGTCAAGTCCTAAAAAAAGAAAAAAGAAATCAACCTCCAACCTACACTGATGTATCTTTAAAAACTTTCTTTCAAAATGGATGGGGAAATAATATATTTCCATGACAAAAATGCCTGAGAAACGTCATGAACACCCCACCAGCACTACAAGGAATTCTAAGCAACATCCTAGAAAAGGACAGTGAAGGTCACAATACCATGAGGCCCAACAGATCAAATCAAATTGGCAAGGCAAGAAACTAAAAAGAGAGGAGAAAAAATCAAACGAGTGAAAAAAAGGACAATAACTTGACAATAAGTCAGAACTTATCAGTTATAACTATCAATATTAATGGCCTCAATTCACCAGTCAAGAGAAATAGATTGGCAGAATGGATTAAGAAGCAAAATCCAACAATATGTTGTATACAAGAAACACACCTAGTGCAAAAGGAAGCCCATAGACTGAAAGTGAAAGGATAGAAAACAATTCTCTACGTGTCAGGAGCCCAGAAAAAAGCAGGGGTAGCAATTTTATTCTCAGATAAAGTAAATTTCAAACCAAAACTCATTAAGAGAGACAAAGAAGGCCACTAAATCCTTGTAAAGGGAACAATTCAAAAGGAAGAGATTATAATCATAAACATATATGCACCAAATATAAATGACCCCAACTATATAAAACAAACATTGAGTAACATGAAAAACTGAATAAGCACTAATGCAATTTTAGTGGGATATGTAAATACCCAAATCTCACAAATAGACACATAAGCTATACAGAAAATCAAGAATGAAATAATAAACCTGCACCAAGCCTTGGAGCAGATGGACTTAACAGATGTGTACAGAGTATTCCACCAAACAAAATCAGAATATACATTCTTTATGGCTGCACATGGATTATTCTCCAAGATAGACCACATACTGGCTCACAGAACAGGTTTGAACAAATACAAAAGAATTGAAGTCATCCCCTGTATATTATCAGATCATAGTGCAATCAAGCTGGAGATCAATAGCATAAACAACTTTAGGAACTTCACAAGCACATGGAAACTGAACAGCTCTCTCCTAAACAATCAATGGATTACATAGAAAATTAAAGAAGAAATTAGAGAGTTTTTTTACAATTAAATGAAAATGCCAATGCAACATACAGGAAACTATGGGACACAATGAAAGCAGTTCTAAGTGGAAAATTCATAACATTGAATGCCCACATTAGGAAAACAGAGAGGGCTGAAATAAACAATCTAACAATTTAATGTAGACTCCTAGATAAACCAGAGTAAGAAAAAAGCACATCAATGTCAATGGCCTCAATTCACCAATCAAGAGAAACAGATTGGCAGAATGGATTAAGAAGCAAAATCCAACAATATGTTGTATACAAGAAACACACCTAGTGCAAAAGGAAGTCCATAGACTGAAAAAGAAAGGATGGAAAACAATTCTCCATGCGTCAGGAGTCCAGAAAAAAGCAGGGGTAGCAATCTTATTCTCAGATAAAGTAAATTTCAAACCAAAACTCATTAAGAGAGACAAAGAAGGACACTACATCCTTGTAAAGGGAACAATTCAAGAGGAAGAGCTGACAATCATAAACATATATGCACCAAATATAAATGCCCCCAACTATATAAAACAAATATTAA